ATGGAGGGTGGTAACAACTCAAACCGGCAGCTGGCATCCCTGCAAAGTTTTGATTTGTTTTAATCCCTATGCTAAATATTTAAAAGGGAAAAAAAGAATTTCATATCCTAAGAAGAAATAGTTTGGAAGTTGCTTTGTATAATCTTTGCTTCATTTACTGACTTCTAAAACATGTAAGCAAATTCCTCCACTCTTAGCTAAAATATATAGCTAAATGCTATTTAAATTAGCTCATTCTTAAAAATATTTCAATAACTCCTTATCTTCACGCTGGCTACCAAAGTATTTAACTCAAAGTATTTAAGATGTCAAGCCAAGACGACCTGCCTTCAGAATGTCTTTGAAGCATGGGGAAGAAAAACAGCCTTTAATTTCAAATCATTGTTTGTTCTTTCTTTTTTAATGGACACTCAGTTTTCCCTTTAGGCTTCACTGTCTCCTTACCTTTTCACTTTGGATGTAGTTATTTTCAAGTGGCCATGTTAGTGCCATGATGCCTAAATTTAAAAGTAAACCAAATTTTAAGAGCTCCACTTTTTCTCTAAAAAACTCTGGAGGTGGCAAATTGTGGACTTAGGGGTAAGCAGAGTGTATGGTGCTTAGTAGTCTCTGCTTTCTGAGCCCAGTAGTGGATCTAGACATCTGGACTCCAATCCACCCAGCCTTGTTGTCTGGCCTCAGTATTTACACCAAAGGTTGGCTAGCAGAGAGACTCAACTGTCTCCAGGCTGAGAAACATAGGCATTCTCTCTTTCCTTCCTAACCTATTATAGCTTGGTCATCCATGGAGGAGCTCAAATATTTAAGAGATTTAAAGAGGCTCTGTAAGTATCATGTGAAAAATAGTTATTAATGCTTGCTCTCAATTTTTTTCCTTTTTAAGAGTTGCCATCAATTTAGGAGTGGTGTATAAACACTCATTTGCCCTAGGCAATGCCCTATGTGATTTCTTTTCCTTTTTCTTTCTTTCTTTCTTTATTTATTTTGAGACAGAGTTTCACTTTGTCGCCCTCGGTAGAGGGCTCTAGTGTCACAGCTCACAGCGAATTCAAACTCTTGTGCTTAAGCGATTCTCTTGCCTCAGCCTCCCCAAAACCTAAGACTACAGGTGCCTGCTACAAAGCCCTGCTATGTTTTAGAGATGGGGTCTCCCTCTGGCTCAGGCTGGTCTCAAACCCGTGAGCTCAGGCAATCCACCTGCCGTGGCCTCCCAAGTGCTGGGATTACTGGCATGAGCCACCATGCCTGGCACCCTGGGTGATTTCTATTATTGTTCTCCAGAATCTTAATTCTTTTCACACTGTCTCCATGCATCTTTAGTTCTTTTTTTTTTTTGAGACAGAGCCTCAAGCTATCCCCCTGGGTAGAGTGCCATGGCATCACGCTCACAGCAACCTCCAACTCCTGGGCTCAAG